TAAGAAAACTGTCCCTTTGACAAGCAGAATAAGAGCCGGTAGAGTTTCTTTCTCCATGTGCAGACACTTCCCTTCCTGTTGGAAATTGTCCCACAAATGGGGCGTGCTCTGGGGAAACTTAGCCAGCAGTCCCCAAGCCACACAGCTGCAGGGCCTGGCAGGGCCCTTAACAGGGGGAGGCTGGCCAGATGTGTGTAGAGGTTGTGACAGTGGCGAATGGGAGAGCACACCATCTGAAGGGGACAGCCACTTCTTAGCTCCACCTAGTGATTACCATTATGGGCAACAGAATTACTAGATTTTTTTTTTTTTCCAAAAGAGGCCAGGTTTCTAGATTTTTAATAGGGAATTTTCCAGTTTTCAAATGTTCACAATTTATTCAGTTTTTCAAAACACCATGCAGGTCGAACATGAGACCCACCGACCCCTGCACTATAGAAAACGTAAGAAAAGAACTCTGGCACAGAAGATTTTATTGCAGTGATGTTTCTGCTGGAGAGAGATTTTACTCATAGATACTCCCTGAATTATTTTACCGTCCTGTGTTGTTTCCTTGATTTCTTGATGTGGTTATCCTTTGAGATGATGGAAGAAAGAAAGCAGATTTTTTATGGTTTGTTTTTTGTTTTTTTTTTAGCTGAGCCATCCTGCCACCTGTTGGTAGCTCAGCGGCTGCACAGCTCAGGCCAGAACTTGAACCGCTGCTGCTCAGAGTCCAAACTCTTGAGTGAGCTCTTAACCAACTGAGCCACTCGGCCGGCCCAAAAAGCAGATTTTTTAAGTTAAACTTCTGGCTTCTGGCCTTTTAAAAAACTGGATTATGCAGGGGTGAAGTGGAGCGACTGAGGGCTCGGGTGTAATGACCCCTTCGCTTCAGACCGCTCGATGACTCAGGAAATTCGTGTTCTAGACCTTTCATAGTCACTATCAGAAATGCTCTGCCTCCATTTAGATTCGTAACCAAAGCTAAAAGTGTGCTATGATTTCTGCAAAGCATTTCTCCCCACCTTTTTATTATGAAAATTTCAAACATACGGAAAAGGTGAAGAGGCACTGTGCAGTGGGTGCCGTGTGGCCACCGCCTAGCGCCCACAAGCCCCGTTTCACTGTATTTGCCTTAACACGGCTCTTTCCACCTGTCCATCCTCTAACCATTCATCAGTCCATCTTCTGGTTCCCGCTCTCGGGCTTCCAGTTCCGGATGCCACAGGCACTGTGACAAACAATATCAGGCAGGCCTCTTTCAGCGCAGACTAGCTTTGGGAAGAAAGAGGTTTGTGGGTTCATAGAGCAGAAGTGTCTCCGGGGTGATGGGGTCCATCATGACAGCCTCCGGGGGCCCACAGTGTCTGGGATCTCTCCTCTCACTGTCTCAGCTCAGCTCTCCCCTGGGTGACTTCATCCTAGGGCACACTTGCCCCATATGGGCTGATGCCACCCTCACTTCAGCCGTCCCTGCCAAAAAGGGCCAACCTAATTCCCCAGGACCTGGTAAAATGCCTGGTGATGGCCCTCAGTGACCAAACTTGGGTCCCCCGCCCACTCCTAGAGAGCCCCATGCAACTATGTGGATTGAAAGTAGGGACAGTGGCTCCCCAAAGGAAACTTGGGGTGCTGTTACCAATAGCAGGGCACGCGGACATTGAGCAGGGAAGCCGGTGGCTGCCTGCTCTGCGGCACTGTGCTGGGCAGTGGGGGTGGGGACCAGCTGAGCCCGGAAATGCACAGCCACCAGGGGCTCCCGGGTCTGTGCCCCGCACCCCCTCCCCCTTTGAGACGTGCTTGTTCCTTCAAGGCCCCTGTGATGTTGCTGTGGGCAATGTGGGTGGCAGTAAAAGAAGGGACAAGAAGCCCCGTGTCTGGGCTGCAGCGCCAGGGCCCAAGGCCAGCTGCCGACAAAGCAGGGCCTCCCACGTTGGCAGTTGTTCGGTGGCATTACCTTTCCTTCCCTCCCTTCCCTCCCTCCCTCCTGTCTGCCTTTTACAGATGCCTCTGGGCCATGCTCAGTACAGGTCCTGGGAATATACCCGTGACCAAGACACAGTGCCCACCCCCCAGGCCCTTACAGTGAGGACAAGAGGCAGGTAAAGTCACAGCTCATCAGGAATGTGACAACCTCCCTGAAGACAGGGAAAGTGGGGACTGGGGTCTGAGCTGAGACCTTCTCTTGGGTCTGGTCCTCAGCTTGGGACCTGGCGACTCTCCTTGAGGTAAGCAGGCTCTCCTGCATGAATCCGCATTCATCAAACTCGCAGGGAGCTGCCGTGGAAACCATAATGCCAGGTTATTCATTTCCGAAGAAAACTGTAACTGGTACGGTGGCCAAGCCTCTCCTCTCCTGAGCCCGGAGTCCAGTGACCTTCGAGGCTGCTGGTGACGGTGGAGTGGACAGAGCATACCCGTCCCTGGCCGAGTGGCTCCCTCTTACCTCCCAGACTGCAGGCTGGTGCGGGTGGGAAGCAGAGATGCAGAGTCCCTGGCTTAGGTCTCTCACTGGAGCTGTCCCCTCACTCAGGGCTGTCCCATTGGTGCTCTGTGTTTTGTCTTGTGTTGTAGAAGGGGGCAGACCTCACTATTCCGCTGATGTGGAAAGAAGGCAGTGCCAGGCATAGCAGTTTGAGGGAATAGAAGGCTTGTAAGAACACTGAGGCAGAAGAAAGACAAACGGGCTGAGGGCCCAAATCATCCTGACTCCTTGGGTGACCCACAGGCCCCATGGGGTGACCTGGTGCCCCCTCCCTCACTGGCCTCTACCATCGCTGGCCACTCACCCTCAGCGCGCAGCCGCCATGCTCACGTTTTTGTCTCTCCGGCCACCAGGCTGGCTCCCACCTCAGAGGGAGCTTGCTGCTAACACTCCCCCAGGTCTTGGCCTGGCCTCCTGCTTTTTGTCATGTAGGTCCTGTTCAGATGAGTGACATCTCTTCGGAGAGGCCTTTTCTGACCACCCAATCGAAGTTCTCCCCCATCCCAACCCCGGCCAGCTCACCCTTTCTGTCATCACCCTGATTTCCAATGTAACACGTGCCATTTTCTGAATTGGTTTCAGTCTCTGGATGTTGCCATATCCAGTGTCACGGTCAGGAGCACCGACTCTGAGCCAGAAGGCCTGGGTTTGAATCCTGGCTCTGCCACTTGTTAGCTGTCTGACCTTGGACAAGTTACTTAACCTCATCGTCCCTCAGTTTTCTCCTGTGTAATCGGGGCAGTAATAGTGCCATGTCACATGGTTGCTGTGTGGGATATTGAGTGACTGTATGTAAAGTGCTTAGAACAGGGCCTGGGACATGCAAAGTGCCACATAAATGTTTGCTGTTATCATTAACCTCAGTGCCTGCAACACATTAAATAGCCATTAATACGTATTTGTTGGAGGTCGTTAAACCTTCATGGGCCCTGTCGGTGAGAGCCGGTGGCCTCGTGGGAGGCAGCCCTGGGGTTGGCGTCTGCCAGCCAAGCCGCCCGTCCCCTGAGCACGCTGGAGCTCCTGCCGGTTCTTGGCACTTTCTTAGATGTTACACATCTGAGTGGAGGCTGGGGTTGGTCACAGATGGTGGCAAGGGGCAAAGCGCAGGTCAGACCCAGGAGCCCACGGGTCATTTGGGGGAGGCCCCTGAGCCATCATGGTTCCAACTGCTTTGACCAAAAGGGCCGGGAAGTCCAGTGCACTTAAGCAAAAGGCTTCCTTCCATCACTGGGCCAAGTCTTGATTCTAACAGTGGAAAACCAGGCCTTTCCTAACAACTCCATTTAGAGTGGGCCCTTCACGGCTCCACCCACGGTGTCCATTCTCAGCTATTGTAAGTGGAAAAAACACACCATCTTCTGTCGTTTCTTCAGCTGCAGTGTGTACTATTATATCAACCACAGCCCTCGGCTTTAGTGTTTTGAATGTGCGCCAAGTGATAAGCGTTACAGGACTTCCCCATCCTGTCCCTTCTTTGCAGTTTTGCATTTGGCTCCCTAATTTCCGCTGTGGATCCAGTGGCTACTATTGCGATTTTCAACGCGCTCCATGTGGACCCAGTGCTCAACATGCTGGTTTTTGGAGAGAGTATTCTCAACGACGCAGTCTCCATTGTCCTGACCAAGTAAGTGTGCCTTTTTCAAGGGACGGAGCTAAGGTCCTTGTGATGCAGGGACAGATGTTTCCATGCAGCTGTACGGACAGGTGCTTGTCCCCTGGTTGACTGCTTCATCCACCTCTCCATCTTTCTGTCCTCACAAGCCTTGAGGTGCCCCGGCCTGGGGTGGTTAGGAGAGGGGCACCCACCTTTTGTGACCTCCCTCTTAGCAGTGGATTGGAACTTATCAGCATCACTGGGGGTGCTTATTAAATGTAGCGTTCCCAGGCCCCACCCTCAGAGCTCCTGATTCAGTTGGTCTGGAGTGAGTCCCAAGAACTTAGGTTTTTAATAAGTTCCTCAGACCGTGATGGAGCAGCCCATTGAGGGGTCAGTGTTTGGACCGCATTGTCGCAGATAAAAACAACAGACAGAGGCCTTGCTCTCCCACTTTCGAGCTGTTGCCTGTCACCTTCCCTTTCACAGCTGTAAACTAACGTAATGATCCTAACAGGCATCCCATCTTAAGATGCTGTTGGGTGAAAACTATAATACTTCAGGAACTGCAAATCTTTATCAAATGCTCATTGGTATTACTGCCCTTGTTGATAGGATCTGAGAAATTAAAGATGAATCATAATAGATCAAGATGTGGTTGGGAAAAGGAAATGAATTTAAGATAATCTCAAATGTGTTTATCTGATGCAGGGCTGTTTCTTAGAACTCTGTATTTTGTGGTGGTCATCACATGTGTGGGCAGGAAACCCAAACAGTTTTGTCAAGAAACAGAGAAGGTCCAAGCAGTTAGACAAAGGACAGTGTATCAGAGATGAGCCAAGAGAATTTTAGGGGCCCGTCACTGTTCTGAACGAGAATAGAATTTCCACGATCTGAATACTGACTTGTTTCCTTTGTTGAAAGGGCCCTTGCTAAGCATAATACTCTGTGGTAGGTAACATTTTCTTAAAAGCTTCCTAATATACATTTGGAATCCTTACGTTGGACCAAAACGACGTTTTATAGTACAAAGAGCCCAGGTTTGGGAGTCGGGCTGACCTGGGTTCAAGTCCTGCTGATGCTACTCATAGCTGTGTGACCCCGGGTCAGCTCCTTCATCGCTCTGAGCCCCAGGCTTGTTAACAGTTGAACGAGGGTGATAATACCTCACTCAGCCTAGGATTGGATATGAGGATTGAATGGTTAAGTACTGTGGTACTATGTGAAAAACATCTCACATCAAATAATGTGAGACCCTTTATTCTTCTCCTGCCTCCATTGTGGTTTCTCTGCCCTGTTTTTATCCTACTTTTGTAGGAAGAACTTACCAAAGTTTGCTTAATTGCAATAGGTACTCAGCAGACCTAAACAAAATGAACTTTAAAATATTTTTGTTATTCTAAAAGTAATACAAATATTCTTCATGTGAAATTTAGAAAATATACATCAAAAAAAGAAAGAAAAATTACATGCATTGTTACTACCCAAAGATTATTACAGTTAACAATTGGGTAAGAGTATGTATACATATATCTTATCTAGATGGGCTTATATGCCATATATTGTATTGTAGCTTTTTCATTGAACAGAGTTGATAAAATAATCTTCTATAACATCATTTTACTGGCTTCAAAGTATTCCTTTAACCAATGCCCTGTTATTAGCCTTTTCACATTTCTCTTGGCAAAAATTTCTATAGCTTTTGTAGGAAATTACATACATCATGCTATAAGACCTTTTAAAAAACCTGATGGTGATATTTTTTCTTATTTAAGATCTACGCTGAAAGCTTTGTAGCTTTTTGGTTTTGACTTTTATCTCATATCCTGGCTGTGTGCATTGAACATTTGTGATAAAGAATTTTGCCCAAATTAGAGGTGACATCATGAGTTATTTTTATACATCAGGAGCTAAACTCAACTGCTTTGTCTCTAGTTTATTTTGTTTTTAAAAATCTGTCCGAAGTAGGACCTTGTCTGAGCTTTTCCAGGTCTGCCACAAAAAGGCCAAAGATTAGGAGATATTTTCTTATTAAAATGAGAAATGATGGAGTCATTATAAGTAGCCAAAGGCTCTTCCTGGAAAAGTGCTTTTGAAGGCCAAGATCACCTATGATGACAGTTCCAAAAACTGGATCTGTGGACCACACGCGTGTATAGTTTCCAGCCGCCACCTGCCCCACGACTGGGACACAGGCTGGGGTGGGATTCACCGACCTAAGACGTCCAGCCTCACTGACTCTCAGACCCACTGTAGGCTGGTCATCCGCCATCAGCATTTGGTGAGGGCCCTCTGTGCCAGACACTGCCCTGAGACCAGCTGGACTTGACACACTCAATCCAAGGTGGGAGACAGATAGTCAGAGACAAGTGAACACAGTGGTTAGGGGGAAACAGTTGCTCTGAAGGATTCAGTACAGCTTCTCGGATGAGCCATCTTGGGAGCATGGTAGGCATTTTCAGATAAAAGAGAGAGGCAGGCCAAGAGGGCACGGCAGACCTGCCTTTTTTTTTTTTTTTTTTTTTTTGCATTGCAGGAGGGAGCTGTTGTCAGCTTTCCTTGGTTATAAGGGACACTCATGTCTTGTTTTTAAGGGTATACTTCTTAAATGATCATTTTCAAAGTGATCTGACACATTTATCTTTGCAACTGAATGTCGGAATAAATTACCCCTTTTTTAATGTGTTCACTTGCATGAGTGCCAGAAAGCTAAGTACCTTGTTTCTTCATTAACTTTAAATTATTTTTAGCTTTGATTTGTTACTATGACAATTTATTCTTAAAATGTTTGCTGTAGAGGCAACCTTTTGTTCTCTCCAGCTGTAGCTTAAGCTCATGAAATGGATTGTCTTATATTCTTTAAGGTGAAGAAACATGACCCGAAAAAATAAAATTTAGAAAATCACCAGGCCCAAAAGAGTCCAGATTCTACTTTCATTTATCTTGAGTTCAGAAACCATTGGCCTCAGCCTTCTCTGCATAAAGGAAAGCAGTGACATCAGCCCGAGTACCAGCCAAGGGTGCGATTCGAGGTGGGGCCTGGACACCATGCACGTGGTCCACAGATCCATTTGGGAGCTGTAGGTGGCCTTAGCCTTCAAAAGCACTTTCCCTAGAAGCACCCTTGTGGGATCCCAGCATTCCCCACGGTGGGATGTTAACCTGTGGTCTAGGAAAGAAAGGGAATGGGGGAGATTGTGCATTCAGGTGAGTTTGGAAAACGTTTGTGAGCAACACGTTAGATTGCTTATTTGCAGGACTTCTCAGAACCTTTACTATGTTACGTTGTGCTTATGCCTCACCGTGAAAGGCTTCCTGGGGTTGTAGGAAATGCTGATTAGTGAAGCTGAATCTTACTACTGACAATTCTTTGTATTGTTTCGTGATTCAGCAAAAATTGATTGAGCATCTTTGGTGTGCTAGGCTCTGCCTTAGGCCCTGGACATATGGCAGTGAACAGGATGGACTCAGGCTTGGTCCTCATGAAGTGATGCATTGGTTTTCACATGCTGTGGAGGAGAAGTCAGGCACCACGAGAGCCTAAATGGGCTGTGTGAAGGGGCTAGGGCAGGTGTCCCTGAGAAAGTGACACTGACCCTGGATTCTGAGAAACAAACCCAGATGTTAGCTGGGGCCAGGGAGGGGTGAAAGATGACCTACAAGGAGGTGCCAGTGATCATGGGGCCTGCCCTGGGTGAGGAGGAGATAGGATCCAGGGGTATGGCAGGAGAGGAGTTAGGTCATGCTACAAAGACTGGGCCTCCTCCTAAAAAGCAGGAAGCTGTCGATGGGCTCTGAACAGGCCGGTAACCTGGTCAGATGTGCATTCTAACGGATCGGATCGTTCAGGCCACTGAGTGGAGAAGGGGTTGGTCCCTGGAAGACAAGGCTGTACATGGAGAGGGCGGTGAAGCGTAAGCCATGGGACAGGATCTAGGGGAGGGAGGGAAAGAAGTGGATAGATGTGAGAGCAAGTCTGAAGGTAGAATCTGCAGAAGGATAAATAATGAGAATAACTCCATTTTAATGGTATAATGCTTTTCCCTTTGGGGGTAAAACCAGCAATTGAATTTAATGGCTTCTGACGTTTTACTTTGTTCTGTAGCAGTGCAAGGAAAGTTCTTTCAATTCTTCCTCCTAATGCCTCCTAAGTCCACGCTCTCAGCCTGTACCTAATGGCCTTTCTTCTTTAGGTGGCTCCGTTCTACTCTGACTTCATGCCATAGCCTCTCTTGCAGGTTTCAGCGCAGGATCTCCCCCATACTGGAAACACTCCCCATGACCCCCCCAGGGCCTTCAGGACGCAATACCAACTTTTTAATGGCCTCAGCAAAAGCTTTTCACAGGTCCCGCCCTACTGCCTGCTGCTCTGGCCTAACTTCCTCCCCCAACCCCTCCCCCCATGTTGTTCCTGTGTTTCATCCATACTGACCTGTGTAACTGAATGCTCCCAGGATGTGCTCATATTCTTGGGCTCCCTGCTTCTGCACATGCTGTTCCCTCTGCCTGGGGTGCTTTCCCTCACTTCTTCACCTGCTTAATTCTTCATCCTAAATCCAAAGCCAGCCCATATGTCATGGAGAACCTCCTTGACGCCCTCCCCCCACCCCGAATTAGAGGTCCACCCCGTGTTTCCACAGCCCTTTGCCCTTATCCCAGGTGGTCATTAGTGCCCATCTCATCTCCGAACCCCCAGAAATTAACACAGTGCCTACAACAAAGTAGGTGAACAAATAAGTGTTTGGCTCCATGAGTGATGGAATGAATGAGTGAATGAATGCGAGAATAAGCAAGACGTAAGTTTTGAGTTCTAAGTTAATTTCTAATAACTTTGTCTATAACATTTTAACTTCTTTCTGTTTTTCTTCTATTTCCTAGCACAGCTGAAGGTTTAACAAGAAAAAATATGTCAGATGTCAGTGGGTGGCAAACATTTTTACAAGCCCTTGGCTACTTCCTCAAAATGTTCTTTGGCTCAGCAGCGCTCGGCACGCTCACTGGCTTAATCTCTGCATTAATATCCTTTTCATCTGATGAACAGGCACGGCTGAGAAGATTATTCTTAATTACATTCATCTCTGGCCATTTTCCCCAGTTCTTTAAGGGGCCAATTTTAATCTAAGGTTGTATTTGATGGAGAACCTTTATGCTTAGTTTTGGTTTGAGAAGCACTTTAATTTAAACTCCATGATTTTGAAATTTAACGTGAAATTTAGGATGTCACTTTTCAAAGCTTAAAAAATCACCTTGTTGGCTATCAGATCTGATTTGGAGGCATTTTAGCTCCCAGAGTATGATAACTGCATTTTTCACATGATTTTCATTTTCCGCCGTCTCACTTTTCACATTCAAAATTGGAAATTAATTTCCTTTGAAAATGTCAAATTGAGAAAATCTGAAAGTGTTTATTGAGAAGGACCAGAAAAGAGCCTTTCAGAGCGAGCTCCATCTAAGTAATTTCCACTGATTTTCTTGCTTAACAACCCATAAGCTTTTCCAGCCAGAGAAGGAAAGAGGCTTGTTAAGGCCAATGACACCTTCATTGCTGTAGAAAATTCGTCACGTTCCTAACAGGAATAGGCACCCGGCCATTTCTGTGCGAGCCTCAGCCTGCATCTCGCGGAGATGGCCACCTGGCCCTCCTCCACGAGCAGTTTGTTTAACAGATGGCCAGAAAAGCCACTTTTGCTTGTGACAGGCATGTTTGTCCGCCATCCTGTTGAATTCTCCCTTCGATTCCTTTGTCCAGAAGTCTAAAGGCTCCATTGAGTTGGTTGACAGCTTCTCATATTGTACCAATAAACAGAATGGAAAAGAAGAGAAAACTTCTTCCAGTTCAGTATTTTCCTCCATGTTTGCCTTTCTCTTCGAAGGGGCAGGGGGACCATCTACTGTGATGAAGCCAAGAAAGTGGGTGCTGTGAGCACCAGCATAGGCCTGTGAACAACATTCGAATATCTAGAAGGCTCTCCCCTTACAGGAGCATAAATTTCAAAATCCCCAGGAACAGGAAAGAAGGCCTTTCAGTGGGGCATCAAACCCCAGAGTTCTGGAAACCCCACTGGTTAGGAGGCCTGGGAGGGGCCTGGCGGTGTGGGCTGGCCGCGGTCGCTCTGCGTCCCAGCTTTGCCCTCCACAGCCCTGGCACACTCCCAGCCCTCCCAGTCCGCATTCTAATGACTGGACTTAGGTCAGTTTTCATTTTCCCCACCATTGGTCTCAGGAATTTACAACAGCCTCCCTGCAAAGAAAAAGAACCCATGATGACAGATTTTCACTTGTTCCTTTGGGATGTTCCAAAACCTTTTGTATCCATTGTTTACCTTACACATTTAGAAGGCAGCAGCTTTGTGGCTTCTCGAGCTCTCCCCTTGATTCTTTCTCCTTGACAACTGTCATTTACGTGCTAAAGCATATTGACCTGAGGAAAACGCCTTCCTTGGAGTTCGGCATGATGATCATTTTTGCTTATCTTCCTTACGGGCTCGCAGAAGGAATCTCGCTCTCTGGTAAGTGAACCAGGGCACTGGAATGCTGGGGTGATGGCACGCTGTCCTGCCCGGTGACAGAGCTCGTGTCAGTGGGTCACATTCCATCACAACTCAGAAGAGCTTAAGCAAGCAAGGGGACTTGCTGGTCCTCTGCGGGCACATCTGGATTTAGCCTGGCCAGATCCCCGGGCTCGGTGTCCTCACGGTCACATTTTCTCTTTGCTGACCACCCTGTAGCAGAGATCACTTCCGGTGTTGCCTCTCTCCCAGAACAGGGCCTCTGAAGGGCCTTCCCTCCAAGGACGGGGCCAAGGACAGTTAATCCCCTGGCTCGTCTCTGGGTTCTAGAATCCACGGAGCTGTGTTCTATCACTGTAGTTTTCCTTTTCTAGAGTCACATAGCTGAAATCATGTAGTATGTAGTCTTTCGTGTCTCCTTTCAGTTCTCACAACGTTCTTGAGAGACATCCATGTTGTTTGCATGTAGCCATAATTTACACATCCTTACTGAGCCACTTTTTTTCCATTCACCATTTGAAGGACATTGGGGTTTTTGCAGATTTAGGCTATGAATATTTGTGCATATTTTGATTGATCTCAGATAAATACCTAAAAGTGAGGTTGCTGGGCCACGTGGTAAGTATGTATTTTACTTTATTAGAAACTGCCAGGTGTTTTTCAAAGTGACTGGACCATTTTGCATCCCTACCAGACTGTATGAGGAAATTCTAGCTGCTTCACATCCTCAGCAGCATGTACGTTAATTTTAAAAAGTGTAGCCATTCTGATAGGTGTGTGGCAATTTGATTTTCGTGTGCCATGCTATGGTTCTTTATATTCTCTTTGGGGTTTGTTGCACTTCTTGGGTTTATGGCTTATGTGAGTTTATAGTTTTCATCAAGTTTGGTAAATTTTTAACCATTTCTTTAAATATTTTTTTCTGTGCTCCCTTCTCTTCTTCGGTTAGGACTCCGGTTACTTAAATTATGATAGACAGTATGCTGTCATCCCATAATACGCTTTGCCTTTTCTTTTTTTTCCAATCTTTTTTTTTTCTCTATGCTTTATTTTGACTAGTTTCTATTGCTATGTCTTCACGTTCACTGATCTTTTTTCTGCCATGCACAACGTCCTGTTAATCACATCCAGTGTGCTTTTCATTTTAGAGATTGTATTATTCACCTGCGGAAGTTCCCTTTGGGTTATTTTTAGATCTTCCATGTCGCTCCTCATCATGTTCATGGTTGTCTTTACCCTCTTGAGCATATGGGGCATCTTTATAACAATTGTTTTAATGTCTTTGTTTGCTAATTCCATCATTTCTGGCAGTGCTAGGTCTGTTTCTGTCAATCCTGTTTAGAAGTCCTAACTTCCTGCTCTTTGCTTGCCTGTTAATTTTTGATCGGATGCCAGTCATTGTGAACTTAATTCTATTGTTGAGTACTAGATTTTATTATATTCTTCATAGAGTTCTGGATTTTCTTCTGCCACATATCCAAGTTTCCTGGAACCAGTTTAATCCTTTTGAGGTTTACTTTTACGCTTTGTCAGGGCAGGTCCAGAGTAGCACTAGGAATGAATGCACTGCCCTTCTGAGGGCTCTACCTCGTCTCATGTATTGGGTTGTCGGAAAAGTCATAACGCATTTTTGCAATGAAAAACATAGAAAAAATATGTCATGACTTTGACTTTCCCGACAACCGAATATTACAGGGTCGCTCCATTCCGGCCTGTGAGAATGCAGACTATTCCCAGGCTTGTGTCCGCTTCGGGAATTGCTCAGCCTATTCCTTCTTAGTGATTCTCTCCCCAGCCTCTTGGAATCTCCCCCACGTGTGTACAGATCAGCATCAGTCCAAGATTCAAGGGGACTCGATTGTAGCTCTCCGGAGCTCTTTCTCTGCGCAGCTCCTCCTTTCCGATATCCTAACTGCTTTGACCACCCCCAGTTCTCATCTGTCCCCTGTTCTCAGCAAGACTGAGACTGCTGGGCTCGGTTTGGGGGTCCCTTCCCTGAGCCTCAGCCTGAAAACTGCATCCAAGCAGTATGCTGGGCCAGAGCCTGGAGCAAGAGTGGTCACCTTGTTTGTTTCCCTCGATCAGGAATCACAGTTCTACCCTGCCTAGCTCCCAGTGTCAGATGACAGTTTTGTTTCTTCTCTATTATCAGGTTCTCTGGTTGTTTATGGCAAGACAGCAATTTGTGTAGCAATTATTTCTTCATGGGCAAATGGAAGTCCCTGGTGGTTTTTAATGACTCTGTTGAGCAGAATTCTCCCCACAGATCACTTTCTGGAATCACACGTGGGTACTCTGAACAGATCTTGCCAAGGAGGAAGCGGAGAAGACTGGACTTTTTCACTGGAAACCTCTTTGTAAACATCAGGGTTTTGTTTGTTTTGAATCCCAAGCCAGTTCTCTTGGATAATTTCATCCTGGTATCTGCCATCGAGTTCCCTCTCCTATCTTTCTTGAATTTTGGCACTTACATAAACATTACCTGTGAGTCATCTGGCTCTAGCCTAGCTATTTTTGCCTCTGTTTTTCTAAATTGTGCCCCACCTCTTTGAGCTGAACACTGAGTACCTGGTGGCAAAGATATATTCCATACAGCCATTTGGAACTTGCAGTTAAAACATCGGAGTATTTTTCTTGTCTTTTCCTCAGAGGCAGTGTTTTCTGTTTGTAAGGGTTTCGTTTCCTTAGGGACCTCTGCTGTTCATGCTAGTGGGGCCAAAAACAACACATGCCAGCCAGGAACCCACCATCCAGCTCTGGGCGAGGGGCTCAGCTCTGCCTGCACTTTGTCTTTGGGGTATCTGTCACACAGGGTTTTCAGAGAAGGGCAGGCTGGCCCTGGTGTGTTGTGAGGACCCTCCACAGCCTATCGCAAGAGTATAAACAGGAAAGGTGATAGTTTGGCTCTCTCCTCCTTCCCTTTGTGCTCTTGCTCTGCTTTTTCCTGACTATCACAAGGACTGATAGTGTGAGTATCCAGTGACCACCAACGCAGGACATTCTCTCCCTATGAATCATTTACCTAAATCATGTGTTTTGAACACAGTGGCTGAGGACACCAGACAGTCCTGGGTTTCAACCCCAGCTGCACCTCTCGTTAGCTGAGTAACCTCAGTCAGCTGACTTAACCCCTCTGAGCATCCATTTTCTCATTTGATAAGAGTGCCACCCTAAGGCCTGAGGCGAGGGATAAAGGGAACAATGCAAGTAAGTGTCCTGACAGAAGCATCAGTGTGTCATTGCTAGGGTGACCATGCATTTCCCCTTTCTGTCCCAACATGATAAATTAACACCCCGTTTCACTCACAGAAGTGTCCCGATTTCAACAGCAAATTAAATAGTCTCCCTAATTATTACTCAGAAGCGTTAACTATTCTTAGAACCTTTGTCCTAATTCTATCAGTGTTAACTATTTCTGTTGTTCAACGAGCCAGTTTTGAGGGCTCCTTGGCCCTCTGACTCTAAAGAATCCAAGATGAATGGACTCTTGCCAGTTGAGCCAACTCTGGGCTGAGGGAGGGGAATTGGGGCAGAGCCACACTCTGTCAAGATGAGTCACAGAGGATGGAACTTTTGGGATTGAAAGATAAGTCTGCAAGATTGATGAGGGCATAATACCTTCTGTGAAATGTTGAGAACAAGTTGGCCAAAGATAGAATGTATTGTGCAGCACTGCCTGTGAGAGAAAAACCGGAAGCAATGAACTGTTACGTAATCAGTAATGGAGAATGAAGGAAGTTTGGGTCCATTCTCACTATGGAATGCTATGCAGCCACTTAAAAAAATAAATTTGACCTATGTGTACTGCCATGGGAAGAACTCTAAGACACATTGCTAAATTTGAAGAAAGACAGTTGAAAGCCCACTCATTCATCTGTTCAGTAAATATTTGTTAAATGCCCACCGTGTGCTGAGAGCTGTCCTTGGTACCAGGGCTATAATAGCAAACAAGACAAGGTCAGGTCCCTGGCTGCAGAAGAGAGACAATTAGCAAGTAGGGAAACACATATCAGAATCTCAGGTAGTGAGAAGTGACCTGAAGGAAAAGAAATCAGAGTCACGTGATAGAGGGTGGCATAGGAGCGGAAGTGTCACGAGATAGTGGGTCAGAAGGTCTCTTGGAAGAGGTGGCCCTGAGCCAAGACCTTTGTGGTGAGGGGTGGGGGGGAAGGGCGGCAGCAGGAACGCCAGGTGCTGAGGGTCCCAAGTAGGCGTGAGGGAGCTTGGCCTGCCCTAGAAGAGCAGGAAGACCCTGTGGGGGACAGGGGCAAGCATCCCGTCCCCCAGGGTTCTGTAGGTCCAGAGGGAGTAGAATTCTGTTACGCGTGCAAAGGCAAGTGCTGGAGGCCTTTTAAAAAACCGCTGTGCTGGTAAGAGATGCCATATAGCTAATATGATCCTGTTTATTACTCTTTCAAGATAGCTGAACTCGGGCCGGTCGAGTGGCTCAGTTGGTTAAGAGCTCACTCAAGAGTACGAGCTCTGAGCAACAGCGGTTCGATTCCCGGCCCGAGCTGAGCTGCCACTGAGCTGCCAACAGGTGGCAGGATGGCTCAGCTTAGGAAAAAAAAAAAGATAGCTGAACTTCATAATGGCATAGGAAAAGAACTGATGATCTGCAATAATAGTTAATAGTTAATAATAGTTAATAGTAGTTACCTCTGGGCAGGCGGCAGGAATGGAGGCTCTCTGGTTTTACTCTGTACCCATGAGTCTGGATGTTTTACAGCAAAATGTGTTTACTATTGGGTAGTTGACAAAGAAAACTGACTATGGTTTGACTCAGCCTTCAAGAAGTACATTATATTTGACCCACAGTAAGATACGATACAGTGGAAATCATACCGGAATTCCCTTTACACCTTTGTTACATTTAAAACCATGGCCTTAACGGTGACTAGAAATGGATTCTCTCCCTCCTTCCTTTCTTCTCTTCTGCCTTCCTTCCTTCCTTCCTTCCTTCCTTCCTTCCTTCCTTCCTTCCTTCCTTCCTTCCTTCCAAGAGTCTGACCGTTTTGTTGCACTCTTACCTGCTTCCTTAAATGACTTTCCTTCTAAAAGAAACCAAGCTGTCAGAAGTTCTTCCTTCCAGGACACGTTTATCTCTAGCAGGGAGCCTATTTGCACCGTTTGCCCCAATAGTGTTTTTACAGCCCGTGTGGGCGGCAGCTGCTGTGGGTGAGGGTGGTCTGGGTGGAGAACACATCTTTGCTTAGAGAGGGCACATAAGGCGACACCTGAGCTGTCCCTCGAGCTGCTGCCCCCACTGCTGACCTTGATTCTTTCCTTTAGCCCCCAGAACCCGAGAGATGCCCCAGCCCAGATTAGCCCAGGCTAAAGATGGTGGCTGGCTCTTCACTTGCACAGTGGCCAGAGGCCCACTTTCATCTGGCCTGTTCCGTCCCCAGATTGGGCTTGTTTATCTATACAAAAAGTTTTGAACGTTTGAATTAGTCACCATTATTAAATTCAGCCCCCAGATGGGGTTTGTTTATAGAGAAAATGTCTTCAACATTTGAATCAGTTGCCCTCATTCAAAGTTAGGAGATTTCCCGTAAGAAACTGACATCTGGCCCCTCCCAGAAAACCCAGAAGGAAGACTGGGGAGCATTCGGCTCCATGCACAGGGCTGACGGCAGCTCCTGGTAGATGGGCTCGTGCCTTTCTCACCCACACGCTGCTCACTGACTTACTGTTTTTATTTTCTGGCCCCCGAAGAGCTTGAGTTTCCTACCCCTGGCCTAGTGCGCCCGACCAAACTGGCCAGCCAAACCCTCCTGCACTGAGCCTGTCTGTCTCCTTGGTGAAGAGCCTGAGACGGGATGACCTGGGGGCAGGAAAGTTCCCTGGGGGGCTGGCACTGGGCTCTACTGTTCAGTCCTGAAGGAACTTCCATATTCCGCTGTCCTCTGACTTCCCAGAGCCGTGGCTTTCTGGAGTGGTTATTTCATATCGGGACTCCCGTGGGCTGTGACAACCCGTCTCTGTGAGCAGGACGGCAATGTGTGTGGAAGGCCATTCGTGTCACAGCTTTAACCTGGCCCCAGCTTCTCTGGGGTGACTTTTACTTCAAGCTAACAACCCCAGAATCTCAGCTTTGCAGTGAATTGATAACCCTTCTCAAAGCAGGGGTGCAGCAAAGTCCTTGGAAAGCCCAGAAGCCAGCAACTTTTAGCGATGGCCTGCGTGCTAAGGGTCACCTCCATAAAAATGGAAGTGTCGCTCCGTGCCCTCCTCCTCCAGGTTCTGGGGTGTCCCCTGCTGTGTCATTACTTGGCCTTCTGATGGCATCAGTGCGCTGCCTGTTGTTGCAGGGTCAGGAAGGGTCAGCTCCGGGTGGTCACCTGCAGGAACAGACTGAGAGAACCACCAGAGGTGTGTTTTGCATCTAGCAGAGCAGTGATTCAGAACCACGCTTAAGCTCCAGCCTTCTCAGTGCTTGGCTTTAGCAAATAAAGAAGTCCCCTGTCCGCTCCTTTCCCTTCTCCCACCTTGTCGGGTGTGGCTTGTGGGCAGCATTCCTGGAATGTCCCTGTCTAGCCTCCTTTGTAGGGAAAAATGAAAGAGCAAAGGAATTTGCTATTTCCTAAGAGGGCTAGGAGATAAAACGTCCCAGCTACTGCTATCACTCAGGCCAGCGAACGCCTGCTGGGCAACACAAAGCGTAGAGTTTTCCTCTATTTTGTAGGGTATTGTTTATACCGCAAGCTTAGCATTGAAATGTCTCCGATGCAATTCTATGATGTTTACCCTTTTTATAAATGGGAAGTTCTCCAGTAATCCCTGTTTCTCCAAAGTGGCAGAAGCAAGTTAAAATTTTGCATATAAAGTTTGACTTGCAGTTCATATATTTTGGCAGCTTATTTGATGACTTTGTAAAAATCGCAGCTTCCTTACATGAAATAGAGAGCCCGGACGGGGACACTGAGAGGAAACCCATGTAAAGTGCTTCGGGAGTGATTGGGGCAGTGGACAAACATTGAGACTCAACTCTTTAGTAAACAAGTTTCAGACTCATGGAGACCTTTCAAAAAAAAGACATTACCTTTTTTTAATAATGCATCTCTATATAGAGTAAGAGTAATTCATGGTAATTATAAGGAAATGCAAAATTAAGGAAGAGTATAAAAAAAAATTAAAATCCTCCCAGATTCCCACACCCAGATTCTTACTCTCCCTCTCTGCCCCAGGAGTGGCTCCGCTGCCCCGCTCATATCCGTGAATGACAGTGACAGCCCACAGCTGTCCTGTGATGGGCACTTTATATGGTATATCTTCACTACCCTCCTACTAGCCCCATGAGTGGTACTATTAGTTCCACTGTACAGATGAGGAAACTGAGGCTTGGAGAGGGGAGGAAACTTGGCCCAAGGTCAGCCGGCCGGAATGGAAGCTGCCAGAGAGAAGGGCCCTTAGCATCTCTCTACAGCCTCTGGGGGGCCTCAGGTATTCTGTGCTCCATTTTCTTTTCCTTTTTCTTAAAACACCTAATACTATAGGCTTCAAGGACTTGTAGGAAGTGGGAGATATGATTTGTGTATCACGTGGCAGGTGCTTTTCTGCTCTATTCATGTCGGGGCGCTTTGCCCCTTTGTCCCTTTCCAGGCATCATGGCCATCCTGTTCTCGGGCATCGTGATGTCCCACTACACGCACCATAACCTGTCCCCCGTCACCCAGATCCTCATGCAGCAAACCCTCCGGACCGTGGCCTTCCTGTGCGGTGAGTTGTGCCTCGGTGTGGTCCGTGCAGGCCTACACGGGGCTGATCACTCTTTTTACCCTGTTTGGGGAGGTCGAGTTTCCCTGACCGAAGAGGCAGCAGAATTCCTCAGAGCCAGACACGGCGCTCCCTCATCTTTTGTTTATTACTCTGGCTTTCCAATTCCATAACGTAAACCTCATACCTAACAAATGGAACGTTTGATGCCTACAATTTTATTATAAAACAAAAAACAATGAGAACTACTAATTTATGAACATTTGAGACCCATGCATTTTAAGGTGTTAAAGGGACATTTCCAAATTAAGAAAAGAAACAAAATGACTCCATAGTCAAAAAAGAGTTCGGGAAATCCTGGGTAAATAAAGCTTAACAGGTTTCTAAACTGCAAGACTTTTCAGCTAATGTGCACTGGGAATTTCTGAGAGGGGAATATAGTTATAGAATTTCCCAAACTTGTCCACAGGACCCTCTGTTCACAAAGTAGCTTTGTTCACATCACTTGGGGCGGTTCTGCATTAGCGGTGTTGTTGTTGGACTGGGGTACACCAGGACGACTGCTTCTTTTAAGCAGTTTCAGTTTGAGCCCTTGTTCCGCCCACGCTCGGATGTATTCACGTACTTCCTCGCTAGCTCATCCCTGGGAGCGAAGGAGCCACCCTCACGCTGTCCCTTTGCGCAAGTGGCTGTGCCCGTGCCGTCATCTTCAGGCATCTCCCCTGGCATTTCCGTGGGGCTTGTCTCATTTTAAAGCACGATTTCCCCACTGTCACGTGCTAGGAGGCAAAGGCAGGCTGTGAGGAGACGTCACTCCTCGGATAAAGCAGGCTGGGGTGCCGCGACGCCAAATGCCTCGCCCGCAGTCTCGTGGCTCAGAAGTGAGTCTGGGAGCCAGGCCTGTCTCCTTCTGGTCCAGGGGGTACTTTTTCCCACCACCCCTCTCCGAAAGTCATGGCTAAAGACTCTGACCCTGACTCTCACCATTAAATACATGTAAAGCAAAATATCCATCACACTCTAGTTTGTACCCATCAAATTGGTAAATCTTAAGTCTGACATTACCCAACTTGTGGCACGGGTGTATGGAAAACAGGCCCTGTTGATGGGCGTGTACGTCGATGCCATCTTTTGTGGAGAGACGTTTGCAGCACCTGTCTGAATTTTAAAAGCACGTGCTCTTTGACCCACAATTCTACCATCAGGAATTTTGCCTGTGTGCTGGGGTGTTTGTTCCAGTTTGCAGTGTTGGAAATAGAAACAAATAACCATCGACAGAGGAGTCATTAAATTAACCATGACATACCCATATACTGGAGTTTATGCTGCCAGAGAATGCATAACATAAGTTTGAATGTGTCTGAATAAGTTGATTTGGAAAGATCACAAAAATATTTATTGGGTCAGAAAAAAATTCAAGGAGAGGGCTGAGTCTACTGTCCAGCTTGTGGACTGGCTTTTAAAGGATATATATATATATAAACATTTGAAGAAAAAACGTTGCTGAAATGTTTTAACACAGCCTCACTGTTTTATGGTGTTCAGCTATTTTAAAATACAGTCTTTGTCCCCCTGGTTAGCAGGCGATTCAGGGGGGGGAGGTGTCACAGTGTAAGCAGGGAGCCTAGTGCTAGAAACGTATAAGGTGCTTTTCCTTGGGCTACACAAGCGATTGCTTGTACAGTGAGTGCAAATGTTGGACCCTCTGACTTGTGGAGTGGAGCCAAAAGTTGAAACTGTATCTCTTCCTGCAAATCCTGCAGGGTGTAAGCCGTCTTCAAAACCTGTGGCGGCATTTAATACAGGGAAGTCAATCATTTGTCTTTGTCCACCAAAGGAAGTTAACAAAGAGCCCTTTCACACGACTCATGTGGCGTCTGCACTCATTTGCTCTGAATTTTTGCCACTTTGCCACAGTGGGGATCCTTGCTAATCACAGTATTCAGCAAATGGACTGATTCATATATTTATCATCTTCCCTGGGTGGGAGAGTATTTACTTGCATGAGTATTTGACAGTTGACTCATTAAATTCGGAGATTCTGAATAGCAAGCATATGTTGCTTGTGTGATGGAAAAGAATAAGAGAATCAAAGTACAAGTTTCACCCAGGTGTGAGCTGTAGAACTTTCCAAAAAATAAGCAAAATGTTATATTGGATTCTAATTTGTTTGTGAATGTTTGCTTGCTTAACATTTTAATACTGTATTGGAAGAAAATCGTTGGGGCTGAATAATTCATTCTTTGGTTTGTTTCAGAAACATGTGTGTTTGCATTTCTTGGCCTGTCCATTTTTAGTTTCCCTCACAAGTTTGAAATTTCCTTTGTCATCTGGTGCATAGTAAGTATTTTCCTTGTTTTTTATTTAATTACTTATTTGTAGCTCAATAGCCACAGGTTCTGGATTCATTTATGTAACTGTTAACTTTTTCAGAGTCAACAGCTACATAGACACTCTTCTGTTTAATGTTTCTTTTGTTAAAAAAAAAATCACAAACATACAATAAAGGGAAAAGGGATGGAATTAAGTAAATGCATATCCCTGGAAAAGGTTTTTTGCTTCTTTTTAATCTTAAATGGCCTTGAATGTTATGGTCTTCTTTTAAAAGTACAAGTTTTTTTTCCATTAGGTGGTAAAAGCAGATTTCAGGTAATTGAGCATAACCATGTAAAAACATTATGCATGGAAAAAAGAAAATATGTAAAGAAAACACAGCTAAATGTTGCTGGTGCCTGTAGAACTGGAGATGATTTCTTTTCTGTTTTCTGGATAATTTGTAAGGCATCTACTTAAGTCTTCCTGCTGTTTGTTTCAGATGGGTCCGTTCATAAGCACGGCCCTGTACACTTGTTTAAAATACAGGTGACCAGGCCCTTAGCTCCCCTAGAGATTGATCCAGGGGAGTCATCCCAGGTGATTCTTACCATCAAGAAGGTTTGGGAAACTGTTTGAACTGGACTGGTGGTGGCAGTAGGAGACAAATTAAAATATACATACCTCTAAAAAAGGAAAATAGAAGTTTAATCATTTGCAGTAGAATCAAATCCTCTTGGGGAATGGGGGGCGGGGCGCGGGAAAGAAATGTTTATTATTTAAAAGAAAAGTCCAGCTCCCTCAGACACCAGATCAAAGTGACAGTTTGGGCATTGAGCCTGGTGTTCCTCCCTGTGTCCCTGTTCCCACTGTGAGAGCTCAGCTCCCATAGGCCTTTCTACTGGCTCACACTCCAATCCTTAATTTGATCTTTTTGTCCTTTTAGACTTTAAGACACTTAAGAAGTACACCTTATTGTTGAGATCATAATTCGTCTTAATTGTTATTACCTACTCCACTTAATAAAACACAGCTATCAAGTGAGAGGCAAACTTTTTTTTTTTAGCAGTGCAAACCAGTGAGGCCTGCCTGTTTGGCATATGGGGAAACTGAGGCACCGAAAAGCTAAGGAGCCCTAAGGAAAAAGATGTTTTCCCTTGCAGTCTTGGTGCTTCTACCTCTCAGTTGGCAAGAGCACGTTGCTTTTGCCACTACTATGTGTCTTCTAAACTCAGGTTTCAGGACAAGAGGACAGCAGTGAGTCTTTTCAGAAAGTACAATAATCTTTAGTGTGGTCGCTGGGTACAGGGGCCACATTTGGTCACACCTGAAACGCAAGTGTAGGAATGAAGGTTGGATTCGGTGGGTGAAACAGGGAGGTGACTGTCTCGGCCATGGGCTGGGAAGATGAGACGACGGCCTGGAGAGGTGCCTCGGTTTCCCCTGAGCACACAGGCTGGCCCTGCTGCTCCTGGGGGCAGCCTGTGGTCTTCGGATGCATTACCTTAGACGGGCTCGGTGGTCAAGGGCATGGTCCCTGGGGACTGAGCCAGGCTTGAGACTTGGCTCCACCCCTTCCTGCCTGGGTCAGCTTCGACCAGTTACTTAACCTCTATGTCTCCGTTTCCTTGTCTCTAAAATGGAGACAGGAATACCTACTTCATCAGACTTTCACAGGGCTCTAATTTGAACAAGATAAGGCATATGAAATGCTTAGCACATTGTCTGGCATATAAATGTTAGATGACTGGGAGCCATTTTTAACTTGGCTGTCCGAGGCACAACGTGCAGAGCACACTCAGCTTGTGTTGGTACAAAGGATGAACTTAGAGCCTGCAAAACGTACAGTGTGTGTATATTAACCTTTTCAAGTTAGTTACGGTGAGAATCGAGATAAAAAGAAAGTAAGTTAAAAAGTAGCTCTAAGTACCCACTTAGATAAGATTTAAACTTTGCATAAAGCGGTATTCTGTTAAGGCCGGCATGTATTTGGAGATGGTTAGGAACCAAAAGCCACGCACGGCAAGCTCCTGGCTAGGCAGATGCGTGCGACCTCCTTTTCGGGCCCACCTTCACATTCCTTTCCCTCGGGGAGCAGCATTCCCGTGAATGGGCCGGCCCTCCCCAGTCTTCCCTCCTTTGCCTGAGAAGTGGGGCCCCCACAGGAGAGGCAGGAACCTGTCTGTCCCTCCAGGGCTGTCGGAACAATCAGCACGGGCCTGTCCCATTGCGGGGCACCTTGGGAGGAGTTCAGGGCCCTTCAGTTAATCCCTGGGAACTTGTGCACGGCCTCTTGGCATTCAGCTTGTGCTGCTGTCATTACCAAAGCCATTGTTGTTGGTACCTTGTTGATCCTGTCTTTCTGACTACTGAGACATACGGTACAAAGCTTTATCCTTTCCCAGACACACAGAAAGCAGGCAATGAGGGCACACACCCCAGCCAGGTTTCCGAGTAGCGTTGTGTTCTTCACGCCCTTTAGAACCGAGGGGAATGCTGCGGGTATAGTGAGTGCGGTACAAGGCCTGTGTGAGCTTCCACAAACTCCAACTGGAGGAACCGGAGCTTTCCCTCTAAGACTTGGTTTCTTGCCGTTAACAGGTGCTTGTCCTGTTTGGCAGAGCGGTGAACATTTTCCCTCTTTCCTACCTCCTGAATTTCTTCCGAGATCATAAAATCACACCGAAGATGATGTTCATCATGTGGTTTAGTGGTAAGTTCAGCCTTGAATAAAGGGTCAAGGGAAGATGCCTCATACAAAGGCACCACACACACGCAGAGGGCATGTGGCTAGCGCCCTGGAAAACGAGCGTGCCCCATCAGCCAAAAAGAACACAGGCCCCATCTGACGGGCACCACTGTAATCCAGGCCCTGGGCGAGGCCCTAACAGACAGCCCCCCTCGCCACAGCGCTGTGAAGTAGGCCGTGCGCGTGTGCTCTACAGATGGGGACACTCAGGCTCTAGGGCTAAGTGCTCATGTGGGATCACGTGACCACAGGAGGCCAAGCCAGGAGTTGCCCTCCTTCCATCCCCTCTGCTCCTGACAAGACAGGGCAGCCCAGGGGCAAGGTGTCCAAGGTGCAGCTCTCACCTGTGTGCTTTCTAAGCTGGTGTAATAGGGACTCAAAATAAAGGTTAAAGTTTAAACGTCTTTGTACTACAGGCTAGATTTGGATACTTATTGTCATTCACTCACTGAGTTCTGATAGTTTATTTGACTATTTCAGTTGCTGTTTAATCACCTTCCTTTACTTTTTTTTTTTTTTTTAAGATTTTACTGGGGAATCAGGGGAGGGGAACAGACAAGTTGCTATCTTTTTATTTTTCAGTCTAGTTGTGGAGGATGTTGCTTCACTGGCCCATGTTGGTGTTATCACTGCGCTCTTCCCGGGTGAGGCAGTCGCTCACCGGCCATTGGACAGCTGCTCACGGCAGCCCAGCTCCAGGTCGAGCTTTTGTTCACCATCTTAGCTGTAGAGGGTGCAGCGTCACTGGCCCTCATGTGGGATCTGAACCAGGGTCCTGCTGCTCAGAGCTGGCGTCCCAAGCCAACTCCTAACCAATGCGCCACTTGGCCGGCCCCATCTTCCTCTACTTTTTAAAGAATGGAAATGGTTTCATTCATCTTTGGCTCCTAAAGAACTGGATCCTTAGGCATCTTTAGATCTATTTTTGAGCAATACATCCAGTTTTTTCTGCTTTCTTATTTAAGTATTATAATTAAAATATTTCTGTGTGGGTTGGACTTTAGCAGCATGCTTTATAAGCTGTTTTCTATCCAATAGCATATCTGTAAATTTCTCAGATTTCTTTTTCCCAAGGCCTTGTCTGAAATATATACCTATGTGTGTGTGTGTGTGTGTGTGTGAGATATATATGTATGTATATATGTATGGATGTATGTATAGTGACAGAAACTTTTTTTCTTAATCTCTTTTTCCAGCGAGGAAAAAAATTGTAAAGTAGTTGATCCAATGTCTTGAAAATCTCAAAGAAAATCTAAGAAATGCATCAGCTATTTTATACAGCTGTGTGAGATGTTTGGGGGTGGGGCATGATAAGAAACCTCTATGAGGAAGTGGGAGGGGCAGAGAGTGTTGGGGGAGTGAACTTCCCACAGTGAGGGCTGCTGTGTTCTCGCCCAGCCCACCCCAAGCCCTCTGTCCACTGATTCCCACCCTCGCTTTGCTGGGTCTTCAACCTCTGTCTCTGTTGGCTCCTCCCATCATTTAAAGATTCTCCTCTTTCCCAGTAAAAAACCACCAATTTCAACCAAAGTCCTCCCCCCACATCCTCTCCGTCTGCTTCCCCATCTCTTCCCGTCACGGCCAGACCTCTTTGAGTGGGCTGTCCTTGCCCATGTTCGCCACTTCCTCACCTCCTGTCAAGGGGGCTGGACTTGGCCTTGTCGAGGTCCCCAGTGACCTCCTGCAGCCAGACCTGGTGGGCGCTGGCGGGGACTTGTCCCCCCACCTCCTCAGCTTTGGGCTCCTTCCTCTCACCGACCTGCCTTCTGACTGAGACCGTCTTCCCCAATTCCTGGACCTCCGAGTCATGCTCCTGGTTTCCCTCCTTTCCCTTTGGGGTCTCCTCAGGCTGCTGTCCAGCTCCCCGTCCTCCTTTACTGACCCGTAAATATTGACTTCCTCGGCCCAGACCCACTTCTGCTCTTGTTTTCTCACAAGCTCAGCCATCCTGTGGCCTCGCTCCCATCTAGTCCCCGAAGCTGTTCCTCTGACCCAGGCCTTTTCTCTGAGATCCACACTCCTGTGTCTAAATCCTCCTTAGAGGTCGTGGAGACATTGCAGTCTCATCGTCTAGGACTGAACTTATCTTCCTGCCCACGCTGCTGCTTTGCCAGCCTGTGTGTGAGTTAGCACAGAGGTATGGCTAACTCTTACTGTTTGCTGAGTGCACACGCTGTTCTGTGCCAAAGCATTTCATCCCTGGGCCACCAACATGGCAGGGCCTGTTTCTAGTCCCTGGTGACAGGTTGAGAGGTTGAGTCACTCACCCCAGCCTGGGAGGCCCAGAGGAATGCAGGGGGCCAGGAGGTGAACCCAGGGGCCAGACTGCGGGGCCCATGCCCAGACCATTGCACAGCACAGCCTCCTAGGACACTCCCTGCCCTCCCCTCTTCCTACTGGCCCCTGTGACCTATTGCTGCCACTCCCCCGTCTATCTTAACTCTATCCTCTGCCTTCCTCCCCACTGGGTCCCCATCTTGGGTCTGGACTGCTGAGAAGCTGGACCCCCATCATGCTGTGAGGTTTCCACCCCATGTCTGGCTCATTCCTGTCCCCATAGGCCTTGCTCCGCATTTCCTTCTTCCTGCACTTATCCCCCACACATCCTTCTTGTTTGGTGTCCCCTCCCTACGGCTCTGGAAGCTCCTGGTCCCCACTATGTGGCACCAGGCAAACCAGGAAGTTTCTTAGAAAGAAAGTGCTATTTCCAGCTCAGCCATGACCCTCAGTACAGCCTCACAAGGGACCAAGACAGGAAGTAAGAGAGAGGCCAGGACGCCATTCCCGGCTGCCTCTGGCCACCACCAGAGCAGCCCTGAGCCTGTCAGCGCTGCCAGGAGCTATGCAGGGCGGGGCACCGGACACACTGCATTCTGTGCTGTGGCCTGTAGAACTGTGTGGCCCTGGGAATACACTTCATTCTCTCAGTCTCGGTTCCTCATCTGTATATTGTGGAGAATGACAGGACCTGCTTTACAGAGTTTCCTGTGAGACCAAATGAGATTGTGCACGCAGAGGACTAGCACAGGCCTGGCTCAGGCACAGGGGGAGCCCAGCCTGCACTAGCCGTCATATTTCTAAAATGTGAGCGTTGGGCTTGACAAATCCTCGCATGTGCGTACACATACACACGTGTACACACACACACACACATGCACACGCATGCACACGGTGCTGCTTCTGAGCCTGGACAGGTCACCCCATTTGATCCGCCGAACCACCCTGTGAAGTGAGAATGGAGGGGAGCTTCTCTGCAGCCTGCTTTTCTCATACCTCAGGGCCTCACGCTCTCCAGTGGGGTCTAAGAGTGTTCGATTAGCCATGATGCCAGGCCGTCCCCAGGTCCCCAGAGAACCGGTCTGTGAGGCCACTGCCCCTCCCCGCTCTGTCCATGTCTCCTCTCAATCCCTTCACTGCCCCTGCAGGCCTGCGGGGCGCCATCCCCTACGCCCTGAGCCTGCACCTGGACCTGGAGCCCATGGAGAAGCGGCAGCTCATCGGCACCACCACCATCATCATCGTGCTCTTCACCATCCTGCTGCTGGGCGGCAGCACCATGCCCCTCATCCGCCTCATGGACATCGAGGACGCCAAGGCGCGGCGCCGGAACAAGAAGGACGTCAACCTCAGCAAGACGGAGAAGATGGTCAGTGCCCGCGGGCCCTGGGCGGGCCGGGGGGTTGTTCCCACTGCCTGCCTGGAAACGGGGAAGTGAGACGCCATCCTCCGATCGCACGCACGCGCAGGTTGCCCAACCTGACAGGGAGGCTGAACCCGAGGTCTGAAGCATGGCTCGTTGGGGTGGGTTGTCTGCCAGTCTCGTGTCCTGGGGAAGCCATAGAAGCCATGGAAGGGGACCTGGAACCTGTGTGGAACTCTCCCAGCAATGCTGCTCCCCTGCCAGCAACCAACCACCCCGTCAGGGCCCAGGACTGGAAGATTTCAAAATGACATCACTCCCCAACCTTAACTGGAAGCCCCTCCTATTGGGGTCTGAGTGGGGGAAGGTGCTCATAGGGCTTTGAGGGCCATGAGGGCCACCAAGGACAGATGAGGGCATGGCCCAGCTGCAGTGAGCCTGCGGCCCCCATCGCTCTGCCCCCGCTAAGCCACCCTCCTGCCCCAGCAGTTGCCCCTCCCAGGCCAGCCGTGGCCATGCCTTCCCTGCCCTGTGTCCTCCCTCAGGCCCCATGTGCCGAGCCAGACTCTGACAGGAGCAGAGGCCGCCCTGGAGTCTCAGCCCGCCTTCCTGCACCCACCCCCCCACACACACATTTCCAGAAATGCATATTTCTCTAGTTCCCTATTCGAGACCGTCAGTAACTTTAATCAGTCATGGAAATCTTCAACCAGGAGACAGGGAAAGGGGTCGTGCCCACTTCTCACACTGGAAAGTCCAGGTCTGGGCAGATCGTCACCCACCTGGAAGGAGACCTTCAGACGACCTCAGGCTGGGCTGGTTCAACTTTCCTCTCTCAGGCAGCCCTTCTCCCCACCCCCCACCCCCCCACCAGCTTTCTTATCTGTTTTAAAGAAAGCTCTAGTATAGGTTCTCGAACCTTTTAGTGGGTGTCAGAATCGCTGAAGGGCTCCAGGGTCCTACAGATCTGGGGTGGGGCTAGAATTTGCATTTCTAAGTTGCTAGGTGCTCATCCTGCAGCCACACTTGGTGATCCAACCACACTGGGCTCTAGTAGAACCAAGATGTTTGCTCGAAGGAAGACCAGTCGCTATTTAGGGAATGTTTGCTGTGACACGCTGTGTTTACGCCCTCCTTAGATTGTCTCAGGTCTCCCTGATAACCTGCAGGAAGCAGAGGCTTTCGTTATCCCCATTTTGCAGATGAGAGCACTGAGGCATAGAAAAGCCAAACCACACAGCTGAGGTCACACAGACTTCAGAGCCTGCGCTCTTAACCGCTGCAGTCTCCATCAATGGTCCCCAAGGTGGGGCTTCTGGACCAGCGGTATCACAGGAACTTGTTAGAAATGCACGTTATTGGGCCCCATCCCAGACCTCCTGAATCAGGAACTCTGCGTTTGGGCCCAGCATTTTGTGGATTCACAAGCCCTCCAAACCTGCACCGCCTGCAGGGGCTCCCGGGTGCAGGTTGCAGGGGCTCATTTAGCAGAGCAGCAAAGGCTGCATTCAAATCCCATATGGTCCTCCCTGCAGAGGCCTGGAGCTGGGCTGGGCAGATCCAGTGAACCTGAGACCTGCTTGCCGTCCAGACCTGCCCTGCCATGTGCAGTCGTTGTCATCATTCCTTTGGGGTTCCCACTGGGATTGTGTCCATGTGTCTGTCTCTACCCCTCCCCGTCCACATCACTGGCACTGACCTGCACTGAAATGCAGGCAAAAAAAAACAACAAAAGGAGCCTCTTTGTTCAGCTTGCTGATAATGAGATGGCCTGGAACCGAAGTTCCCAATCCTTCGCCACATTCAAGTCTGGAAGCTTACAAAGCAAGAGCCAGCCCCAGGCCAGAACTTCTGATTTACTCCTGGGTATTATTCCATCATGTTTTTACAAACCTCTCCACCTCCTTATGGGCTCCCAGGAAGCCCTCTGCTACCACAGACACACTGCCCGAGTCTGACTGCAGCTAGGATGGGGGACACTGGTGGCCAGGGGCGAAGGGCTGCTATGTAGGCTGGGTGGAGTGGACGCTTCCAGAAGCTCCCAGCCCAGCACACAGACGACCCTCCAGCTGCCTTCCTTCCCCCGCAGGGCAACACCGTGGAGTCGGAGCACTTGTCGGAGCTCACTGAGGAGGAGTACGAAGCCCACTACATCAGGCGGCAGGACCTCAAAGGCTTCCTGTGGCTGGACGCCAAGTACCTGAACCCCTTTTTCACACGGCGGCTGACCCAGGAGGTGGGACACAGGCCCGTGCCCTACGGCCAGGGGTCCCTTGCCTTCTTCCCTCAGGGCCTGCAGCAGCCAAGAGCGGGATGGGCACAGGGCAGGGCCATGTGCTGTGTGGGGGAGGGGCAGCCGTGCCGCCTCCTCCCGCAGGCTCCCTCCTGCCCAGGCCCACAGGCTGGCATCTGCTGTTTTTCCTTTGCTGCCAGATTTAGTGCTGGTTTAATAATAGACTTGTTAACACAGTTTGCTTTTCCTGAATGATAGACTCGGAACACTGATCAGCTACTGAATCTGAGCTGAGGAATCTCAGACATGCCAGGGCCTCAGGCAGTGGTGCAAAGGCTCAGGCTCTTGTGCGTCCCTCCAGGCACTGCTGGCTTCTGGGGGACAGTGAGTGAGGCACTCTCATGGGGACCAGCTTGGTCCCGCTTTGCTGAAGTCCTCCTGCCCCATGCAGGCCTTGGGGTGGGGGTGGGCTCTGCCGGCAACTCCGGCCCCCCGTGCTTCGGAGCCTGTGCCCTCCTTAGGCAGTCACCATGCTGTCAGTGTGCGAGCTCTTACTATGAGCCGGACGCTGCGCCAAATGGTTTCCATCACTGCTGCGGTTCAATTTCCCAACAACCCTTGCAGTAGATGCAGCTGGTGTCTCATTTGACAGCTGGGGAGGCTGAAGTAGCATCCTGCTTCCTCCCCGTTTCTGAGTGACACCTCCTGTTACCCCCACCCGCACAAAAAAGAGGCCCAGCCCAGTCAGTCATTTACCCCCTTAAAATTGCCTGTGGCCATGCCGCCTGCCTCCCATCCCCCCCAAGGTACAAAGCTGCTTCCGCCCTCCTCACCCTCACCCTGCCCCTGACCCACTGACAAGGGCGTGGTTGTGTCTTTGTCCCAGGACCTCCACCACGGACGCATCCAGATGAAAACGCTCACCAACAAGTGGTACGAGGAGGTGCGCCAGGGCCCCTCCGGCTCCGAGGATGATGAGCAGGAGCTGCTGTGACCCCGCAGGGCACGGCCATCGGCCTCCCCAGGGCTCCTAGGACAGACCCTGGGAAGGGCCCCCGGGGGCCTGTGCATTTGGCTGCTCTTCAGGGGAGAAGAAAGCAGCGCGAAGCCAAGGCAGTCTTCTGAGCCCGGAACTTCCAGGCCGTAGGAGCCAGCTGGCTTCTGAAACACGTTGCTCCCCACGCCTCCGTGGCCAGACCTCCGCAGATTGGAGGGACCACCTGTCCAGGTAAACGTTTCCTTTTGCTTTTGCAACCAAGGCAGCCACCCGTGCAGCCGAGGCGCCTGAGAGGAGAAAGCCTGCTGTGGATGCTGCCGTGACTGGGTGTCCTCGGGGGAGCGCTGGCGTGCAGTTTCTGCCATTCCCAGCCACTGCCTTCATCGCGACGCACCGAGAGGCCGGGCCCTTCCCTGCTGGAATGGGCGTCTGCCATTTTCCGTATCATCATCAAGGTGCCTCGGGCCTCAGCAGCAGCTATTCTGACCTGAGTGGCAGGCCCAGAAATCTTGAAAAGCTCCCTCTGTCCCTCTTCATGATGTTGCTTGCACACCCTACGAAAAACTGAGTGACTGTTCTCTTCTTTACCTCTGATTGGCACCTCGCAGGCTGTCTCCCTGGGTGGCAGGCAGCTACTGCCCTTCTCTGGGAATACTGTGAATGTTTACACTGGTACTGACACGCGGGCAAAGGCCCTTCTTCCAAACCCCAATGGAAGCTGCATCCCTGGGTCTCTTGGAGCAAGTGAGCCTATTCTGTGGGGTCAGAGCGCCCTCTGGAGGGAAAAGCTAGAGGTGCAGGGCTCACGCGGCCCAGCCACTGCTGTCTGAATTCGGTTTAAATTCATGCACTTTAACAAAGTGGGGAGATCCTAGCAGTCGCCTCCCTTATCTTGATTCCAGACTCTCTGTCCTTGTTTGTGCAGAGGCCCCTTTTCCTGGGTCCTCGGGGTCTGCCCACCACATACCTGCTGCCACCTTCACTGCTTATCAGCATTTCCTCTTTCCCAGTCCTCTACTGTTTTGGATCCCATTTGTCCCCCATGCCAGGGTCCCAGGTCACCCAAACACTAAGGCAGGGGGCTAGAGACTGCCCCCCTCCCCAAGACACACTCTCTCTCTTTCTCTCTCTCTCCCCCCATCTCCCTGCCCCTTCCCTGTGGGCCCAGCCCCTGGGCCATCTCAGGCTGAGGAGCTGCCAATCATGTCCAGATGTAAGGAGTTACTGACTCAACATCCACTCCCCACATTTAACAAGCCTCGGACTTGCTCGCCTTTGCACATCTACAGCTGTTGGCAGTTCCCACAGGTGGCTCAGGGTTCCAGCTGGAGCTGGGACCCTGCACTCCCTGGGTGGTTTCTTTCATCATGTGCATGTTCTTGGTTCTCTGGGGACCCACTGGGCCAGCAGGGACCCTGGGCTGGCAGCAAGCACGAGTCCATCTCGTCTGCCTAGGGCAGCGTGGCTCTGGGTGTCGGGAAGGACTGACCTCGGAACCCTCCAGGCCTCTGCTCAGCCCGCGCTTTCTTTTGTATGCATCAAAGTACATTTGTACTTGATAGAACTAGAATAGGATCATTTTTCTTTCTGTAATTTCCCACTCTGACCCCAAAATTTGAACCAAGCAGGATTCTTTCACCCCACCTGATATCCCACTGCATGCATAATTCGGGTGTCTGTCATTTCCTATTTCCTTTTTGTGGAAAAGTAAGAGGTCAAAGGGGGCGGGACCTTTGTCCACACAAAGGGGGCGGGGGCAGAGAACTGAGGCCAGATGGCTCTCTCATTCCTCAACTCACAAGTAATTTACTTTCTCTCCTAAACTTCAGGGTCTGATCCCAGAGGTGGAAGTTGCATTGCAAACTCAATAGCTTGCCAGAAAAAAAAATTGGGGGCTGTGAGTTCATAGAGTAAGCAATAAAAACAGGATCTTCTCGATTCAGACTGCCCCTTGTCACCAGGTCCCTCCTGGCCTCCCACTTTCGGCTGAGACTGAAAATGACACTGCAGTAGAGAAGCAGTGGAGGGCCTACTTACTATTATAGAAGTTCCCCAAGGCTTGGCTGTGGGGGCTGGGGACACCTTTCCTGGCAGGTACCAGCACCTGCTGGATCTCCCCTGAGCCTCTCCTGCCCCCTGCTGGCTGAGTGAGGGTTTAGCCTGGGAGAGCATCCCCTCAGAAGTCGGTCTGTCACCACTGGCACAGGCAAACGCCCATACAGATATATTTTTCTGGTGGATTTTTTCAAATGTATTTGCCTGAGAATCAAAAATTGCTGCTGTCTACCTTTACCATACCTAATAATTCTATTATTTCGGGCAATAAATGTCTAGATTTTTTTAAATCCAGCATAACTGTAACTGCTTACCTATTGATCTTTTAGGTCTAGGCCACAGGACAGGAGAGCTGTAGCAAGTAGAGAAGGTTCTTTAGAGGTGAAGTGTGCAGTCAGTGAGTGCCTCCTCTGGGAAGCTGCCCGCTTAGCCAGGGAACTCGGAAGACATGCCTGTCCTGGGGAGCCGGGCTGCAGCAAGCCCACACTCCAAGACTCCTGTAGCCCTACACAGTAGGCCCTACGATTTTGAACTTAGAATAAATCTCATGCTTCCTGCAGCCCTCTCATAGGATCCCTGGGAACAAACATCCCCTGAGGCTTGGGGTGGGAGGCCTTACAGGGCAAGAAGCTGGCTTTTCCTAGGTCCCCAGAGATCAGGTTTGGGCTGGCCTGGGCCTGGGCCAGGCAGAAGGTGGCTCAGTTCCCTAGTCGAGAACTCCACACTCAGCCCAGGGGCAGAACCGAACCCCTCCCACCCCCAGGCCAGCCACCTCTTCACAGTGGGAATGCGGACCCGGCCCTGGCGGTAATGAGGCCAAGGGCAGCCCAAGGACCCCACGTCAGCCCCGGGAGGCCCTGATTTGCCCGCTGATTCCTTTGTAGGCAGTGGAATGCAGAAACGCTGGTGAGTGGGCATCCTTCTCACGTCAACGGTGCCATCAGCGAGCAGCTCCATGAGGTCTCAGTTCCACGTTCCCACAGGGGCCCTCCCACTTGGCACAGTCCTCAGCGGGGTGGCCACAGTCAGGATCCCACTTCTGAGGGTGGGGCAGGGTAGTGGCCGGCTTCTTAGCCAAGTCACAGCAGTCAGAGGCGCAGGCATGGCTTGGGGTGTGTGTGGCCTTAGGAGCGATGATCTGCCATTGATTAGAACTTTAACTGCAAAGAGAGGGGCCGCCCCTGGCTCCTTCCCCCACTCCCTCCGGAACGCAGGCAGGCGTGCTGCTCCTGCTGGCTGGTGAGGAGGAAACCTGATCAGAAACGTTGCTGATACAGCAGCCAGAATCATTAAGAAGCGGTTCTACCAGGAGCCCACTCTCCAAAGCCCCAGGCCATATGTTTGACATGAAACCACCACAGTCAAGGCTTAAAGGGAATTAGCAGCCACACTCCCTTCCGTTTAGGCCCCTGCCATTTCTCACACAGATGGAGTTAGATGTTCAGGGACTTGTACTGCCATTGGCCATATGACAAAAGAGGGGAGACTTTCTACCTTACCCTAGTCCACCCGTTCTCCCAGGCTGCTCACAGGAGCTGCCTGATGTCAGGCTGAGAGAGCTGAGTGCAGCCCGGGGACCCTGTAGCCCTGTGACTGGATGGGGATATACGGGGCCCCTGTGGGCCCGTCAGCCCCGGGGAAGAGCCCAGGAATAGCCTGTTAGCTGGGTCCTGGTGCTCACTTCTCACAGCCCCAGCCCTGCTCTGAGGAGCTGCGAGGTTCGTGCCTTCACCAAAGGCTTTAGTGTTTTCTCCAAATACAGCTTTGCAAAGCTCGATTCGTTCTCAAGGTGAATCAGAATCTTGTATTCTTGTAAGCAATTTTGTCAAAACGAAGCGTTTTTTTTAAAGTACTGCTTCTTTATTTATGGACCATTGGGAAGGCCAGGCTTGTTCTGTCCTCCCCCAAGTAAGTTGTGACTGGCATTTGGTAGGGCTTGCTTCCTAAGAAATGATTTGCTCTTCTTAATGGGGCTTCAGATTGTGCAGGGGAAGATGGGTCAGAGATGGGGGGACCTCTGGGGGCTTTAGCATCAGCCAGGTCCTGGGGACAGAAGGGACCAAGAGCCCTCTGCACACACAGGCAGGTTTCAGATGATGCCCTGATGCAAATGGGGAAGAAAACAGATCTTTGCTTACTGCAAAGGAGCCATAAGAATGTAGTTGGTTTGTATTGTGGCAAAGTGAGCCATACACTCCTACCTGCTGGCGGGAAGGCCAGCTGGTTCAAGCTTTTTGGAAGCCAACATGGGGACACCTATCAAAAGCCTGGAAATGGCCCATGTTTTGACACTGCAAGTCTCAAAAGAACAAAACGAATGTGCACAAAAATTTGGCTCCAAAAATAGTTATCTTGACAGTATCTGTAATGAGGAAAAATGGAAAATAACTTTTTTGCCCACCTAGAGGGGATTGGTGAGAAAAATAGTAATACAATGTTTACCAGCAATTAACGATTTAAGGAAGCGGGGATGAGCGTATCAGGCTAGCATCTTGCCACCTTCAGAGAGAAACAAAATTGTATCCTCCTTAAATGTTTGAGATTTCAAAATGACAAAAAGATGAATCAAAGGAGTAGAAATCTTGTTTTTTAAATACAGACACCACTCCTCAAACACCCACTAATCTCTAATGTAGCAGGCCTGCAGGCTGCCCATCCACCCACCATTTCTGCCCTGTGCCCTGGTGTCTTTGCTAAGAGAATCCACTTTTGTGTGTGTGATGGGCGACCATACGCATCAAAGGGAAAGGGGGCCCGTTCCCAGTGCGAGACGGTCCTGGTCGGTCATTCCACTCCCTTTGCCTGAGAATGGCTGACAAATGGGCCTCTGACCCAATTCTGGCAGGAGACTGGAACAACATCTCAGGGAATGTCTAGAACAGTTTCCTCGCTCTCAGAGAGACACTGAAGGAAGGGAAGCACCCCCCTTCCCACTGTCTGGCCTCTGCCTCCCATTATGTGAGGATGTACTCCCTGGACCTGCTGAAGCCATTTTGAGACGAGGGAAGACCTCACCACATGCTAAGGACAGAACAGAAGGGCAGAAGGCCCGTGAGTTTTTAATGACACAGTTGGGCCGATGAATTCATCAGTCCTGGAACTGACCCCCCTCCAGACCTCATTATGTGACACAGTACATGTTCTTACTGTTTATGCCACTTCTGATTGGGCTTTATGTTACAACAAAAATAATCCTGATACAACTTTGTGAAGTGTGAGACAAGCAGATTCCAAACCAACACATGCAGCATTAGCCTGTAAAAATTAAAGGTGTGTTTACATATAAGAAAAAATCTGGAAGGACAGCTGCCAAATGTTAACTGTGGTTCTGAGTGGAAGGATTATGGGTAACTTAAAAAATCTTGTTTGTATATATTTTTTATTTCTTTCATAAAGAACGTGTTGTCTCTTTTCAAAATGTGATTACAAATGAAACCAGAACTAGAGAAAGCAACACATTAACTGGGGAGATTTGATGTGCTATTAAGAGCACTAGGGAAACAGGAAGTCTCATCCTCCTCAGGTGAGAATCCAAACTGAAGGGATGACTTTGAAGAGCATCTGGCAATGCCGAGTGAAGGGAAAGATGGCTGCCACCCTTTGACCCAGCAATTCCTCTCCTGGGCTCATGCCCTAGAGAGCAAGCCTGCCAGCCCCAGCCTGCCTCCTGTTGTTGGACTACCAGAGCGCTAAGAATGGTTTGTCACACTTTCAAACGGTTGAAAAAACTCAAAAGAAGACTCATATTTCATGACATGTGAAAATTATATGAAATTCAAATTTCAATGTCCATAAATAAAGTTTTGAATTTTTAAATTAAAAAAGTATGGAAATTTGTTTTCTCTCTTGTTATATAAGTACCTCCTTTTTTTCAATTCGCTATCTAGCCATTTACAGAAAAAGTTTACCCACCCCTGGCCTGCCCTAGAGAAATTCTTACCCACTCATGCACCAGGCAGGAGACACCTACAAGATTCTTAGTAATGGCAAGATGTTGGAAACAAGCTAAATAAATGATTGTCACTAGACTGGATAAACCGTGGCCCAGTAATGAGGTGGAATACTATACAGCAGTGAGAATGGATGGACGAACGAATGAAACTGGAATGAATCTATCAATGCGGCTAAATCTCAGCTGTTGAGGGACGTGGAAGAGCGAGCTGCCGAAGAGTCCAGTGTAGGAAGTACATATAAACCATGCAGAGCAGTGGGCAACAGTGGTGCTTAGGGATGCAGATAAGTGGAATGAGTTTGTGAAGAAAGGCTGGAAAGGCCAACACCAGGACCACGGGCCCCTCTGGGGTAGGGAAGGGAAGGTGAGGAGCTGCATGTGGACACTCCACCCACCCTGGCTTCCCCAGTATCGCTGATTCATTTCCTAAGGGAGCAGCGGGCAACCAGGAGTTCAT